CCCGATCGGGCCGAAAACGCTATAAGTAAGCGTTACAACAATTCTTATGCTCAGACTCTTAATTTTGCGAAAAATAATATACCTTGTTCTTTTTATTCTCTCTAGTTTTGTCTAAATTTTTTATATTTTTTAAGTAATCAATTAATTATGTCTATCAATATAGATTCAATCATATCTAAAGTTGCCAATTCCGATTGCCAAATTAGTCTGGAATATTGTATCTCAAAAAATTATTTTGCCTTTTTATTCTTTCTATTTTTTTGTTGTAATTTTTTATATTTTTTGAGTAAATATTGATAATTACATTAATATAGACTTGAGCTATCCAAAACTTCCATTTCTGGTTTTCAAATTAGTCAGACGTATTACATTAAAAAAATATTATATAAACACACCTCTTTCTCTTGTTAAAAAAAACGTTTCTTTGACAGTATAAACGCACCCCCAAAGAATGCCTCAGATCACAGGATGGCACAGTTCCCGATGAATGTTTTGCTTTACAGAGAACATTCTTTGAATGTAAACATTCTATAGTAAGTATAAATGAATTTGCATAATAATTTCTAAATATTGAGGAAAGAAGATATACACCTTTTCTTCAGAGAAGTCGTGTATGGAATATATATGTTATATATAATATAGTTTTACTTTTTTCTTTACTTTCTCACAGATTGATGGTAGGCGGCGATTTAGAGGTCCTAGGGGATATTAAATGTCGAAATAAATATATGTATATAACATAATTACAACATTATTACATAAGTTTTGTATTAATAAAACATTTTTTCCTTTTTCTATTGGATACTTTGTGACTAAATGTCAAATATATATATATATATATAATGCAAAAAGAACTTAAGAAAGTGTAAATATACATATTTTATTGATAAGAAAGGGAAAATCAACGTTGTATAACGTTTAATGTTAGAAGTAATTTATTGTTATTCGTTGTACACGATTTAATAAATCTATTATACTTGCGAAGTAACAATGTATCATACAATTCATCACATTTACTTACGTATCCTGATACAAAGATATTCTTATTCCCTTGATAATCTGTTGCCAGACCTAATTGAGAAATATGAAGCTTTGTATGCTTGTTACTTTGAGGAGGTATACTCCTCTATATAGAGCAAAAGTTCTTTTTGTAGGCAATAGTTTCTCTTTTCGAAGAACAAAAGCAGTCATATTTTAACCCTTTCAATACTTCTTTTTTTTTCAGTATCACAAATTAAATTATTAATCTGTTAATTTTGGTAAGAAATATCCCATATTAATTTTTTTTAGTTTTGTAATGGTAAACAACAAAATTGAATATATAATAAAAATTAATAAAAATATTTTAAATAATAAATTACAATAAATGTAAATTATTAAAATTCAAATCTAACTTAAATTATCTTAATTTAATCTCTCTTGTATTTAACTTGTTACTGAAAGGCTTAATGCGATGTCCAGCCTTTTTTAAAATAATATCACATAAAAATTTTCCTACGTATGTGCAAAATACCATGTATAATCGGAATTTATGTTTCAGTATAATTGTACAATGATGAGAAAAGAGAATGCAATGGATCAAATATTTTATTGACGCATTTGAATTATAATATACTGTTTTTCTTTTTCATGATTTATACATATAGACTGGACAATATTGGCTCATTGTAGCATTTATCATATTTTATAATATTGCACTTGTTTGTCGTGCTGAATCGCACGCATGAATGTATCGAACATGATACGCGTATGATCACAGTAAAATTGCGAAATTTCCTAACTTCCCTTTTTTCTTTTTTTTTTTGTTATTAAGTTAAGAGCATTTTGTTCCACTTTGTGTTCAGCGAGTATACAATTCGGGCGTATGATAAAGTACGCCGTTATATAGGTCTTGTATTTTATTACAAATCTACAGATGACGATCACGCCTGCGTAATCGTCCTATCTATTGTCTGTATGCAACAAGCGTATATTGGCTATACAATTTTTTTTGTACTACAATGCCAACTCACGCTACTCTTTCACTCTCTAAAATGGCTATAGGCACCTAAAAATGGGATTTGCAAGCTTTTCCCGCGCATACTTGTTTTACCCTCATCTCTCTCCGTATGTATGGAAAGAATCTTTAGATTGTATGTGGATAAAGTACATACTCTTGAATTTTTTTGTTAGCTTAAATTGAGCTTTGATTTTAAATAAATTATTTCTACGGTTATACATTTTTTAAGTTCCTGTAAAAAAATAATTAAGACATCGCGAGAAAAGATTTATTAAATCTCTAAATAAGATAATTTATATTTTTTATTTGTCTATTCCTTCAGATGTGATAAAATCATCGTTTGAAATAAGGTTTAGAAACTTTTTTTTACTTCACGGAATGAAAAAAGGGAAAAAGTGATATAATTAGAAGTAAAAGATTATTCAAACTTCTATTTTTTGAAAATGCAATTACCCACACACGTGACACATCTGCCGATCGAATTTCGCGAGCGTAAAATCCATGTATACGGATATACATATAATATCAAATATTAAGATAATCGATAAAGAACTTGAAGTTATTACGTACTACCGCGTTGGCCTTCAAAGTTCCACTACCTTGTGCCTAAGTCACCTAAATTGATTTCAAGAGTAGCATTTTCAAGAATAGGTTTTCAAGAGGAGTTTCCCATTGTGATATATACGCCGCTGGTTCAAATATCACAGTTTATCGAGTATGATATGTAATTAGCGATTATATTCGATAGTTATCAATAGTAATAAAAGTATGTTGCGTATATCGTTATGCTTGTATATTGCGATGCCCGTAGGATGACCAAACGTCTCTAATCGGCGACACTTACATCGTTAACTTTTCCATGTTAATACATAGAATGTTCTTCCAAGAAATTAAATATCGAGGATATCCTTGACGCTTCATCTGTATGAGATGCATCGGACATCCGTTTTGTATTATTTTATATACGTATATATATTACAATATACTTTCTGCAACCTATCAATTTTATTACTATTCTGTATATACATTTCATTTCCATTTCGTTGGGTGACCCTACTTAGGCAATGCTCGCTTGCGTAATGAACGAGATAGTAAAGTCGAAAAATACAAATAGATTCAGTTGCATATCTAATCGAGCATGCAGGCCGTTTCGTCGATTATCAACGAGACTCGTCTAAAGCGTATACGAAGTTGCGCTCCTTATAATAAGTAGTACGATAATAGTAGAAATCACAGTGTCTCGTTCGTTAACGACATTTGCGACGACATATCCTCAGTTCCTGCAAATCGGTATCGCGTCTTTTCTCCCGTTATAGTATTAATTATATTCCTGCAATCAAAATTAATTTTGATTAAAAATATAAATGCTGATCGTTACCATTGCTTATCTCGATATCATTTCACTATTAACTGAAAGGTATTGGTATCAACTTGTTTAGTTACAAATAGAATCGTGAAGTAAAAGATTGAAATTTGATACGACACCATTTCGTTTGGATTTTTCTGCAGAGTTATACGTAATGTGCGATTCGAAAGGATGTTTCTCGCAGACTCTAACAGTCGGATGAGGAATCAAAAGCATACGGAGGGTCTGTAAAGTCCGGTGTATCCGCACAGACGTGCACGAAGTGCCGGTAGAAGTATTGCCGCAGCAGATAGATTGTCTTGCAGCTGCGAACACTCGCAGATTAACAGATACATCTTGTCGCCTTGTGACATCGATTTGTGCAAAGTAATACGTCTGAGACCCACAGATTTTGGCAAGTATCGATACATCATCCGCGCGCCTGCAACACGATAAAAGCTAATGTAGTATATCTTGATACACCATCGGAATAAAATTTGCTTCTTTATTCGTGCAATTATTCGTACCTGTATAGATCAATATTTTATATATATATATATATATATATATAGGTTGTGTATAAAATATCATTTTATAAGGGATAAAATATCAAGTATTAATAAGATTATTTTTTATATAAATATTTAACATGATATTCCTTAAATTGTTTATATACATATATAATAACAATAAATCTTTTAATAATAGATTCTTCAAATTGATTAAAGTCAATCTTTTAATCCCGGAAAAAATAAAATTGTAATTTTAATAAATCGAGATAATGAAACTAAAATACTATACTCCTGTGCGGTATTTTAATCACATTTTCTTATTAAAACTACAATTTGTTTAGTAAATTCGTTCTTTTTTTCAGAAATGATTTTAAAACATATCAAAATTTAAAAAAATAAAATTTTATTTTTGCACAAGTACTTTTTGCAATCGAAACGAAGAAAAATTTTATTTTTCAAATAAGCGTTAAACATATTTAATAATTTTTTTAATGAAATAATTACACACAGCTATTTATTTTATTATCAAATTTTTTTAGCAACAATAGGATTATATTTTTTTAGTATAACGTATATGTATAAGCAAGTTATATTATTATTTTATGGATTCATTAGCGTCATCTAATTCATAAGATAAGAATACATATTTATTACAAGATAAGAATACATTGGACATACACATATTAACGACGCTAATGAGTCTATAAAATAAAACGCGAAACGTGAGATAATAATCCCAAAATCAGTTTTCCAACTCCAAGGAAAGGAAATGAATCTGAATGTTCACACATTTCGGACTCTAAATTCTTTAGAATGGAATCTCATTCTTTAGAGTGAAAATTGAATTACTCTTATAAAAGAGTGGCTCAGTTTTCAATCTATGAGTGAGCTAAAATTTCCCCAACAGCGCAGAACTTACAACAATATTGCTGCAAGGTGTAATATTGCAGTAATATTGCTGTAAGTTTTGTGCTGTTACACTGTCAAAAATATCATGAAATTTAATGTACTTTCAAGAGAGTTACACAAATTCAATTCAATTTTATTTTCTAAATTAAATTTAATGTATCTGCAACTGGAAAGTATATTTGTGTACATGTACATGAAATTTAGTATACTTTTCATAAAATTTTACGAAGTTTAGTACATTTTTTATTAAATTTTATATAGCTTTGCATAAAATTTAATATAAGCAAACGTTAAATTTAAGTTATTTACAACTTCATTTTCATTGACAACATTAAATATTTTTAATGTATCTGCTTGAAATTTGCTTCCATTGTATATATAACGGAAGCAAATTTCTTTTTTTTTTAACAGTGTGGGGTTTACTCTTCTGAATAGGATTTACAAAAAAAAATCTCTACAATAAGTTTTGAAGTGTATATAAAATATTTTGTATAACTCTCTCTCTGCTTAACACGACGTATTATAGTTGTATACACAGCGTGCGGTGTTCGTGTAAGGTCGCTTTGTTATCATTTACGAAGCATAGCTTGAGCGAACGGGTAGCAATGCATTGTTGGCTCTCATCGGATTATTATAATGCGCGTGCTCTTAGCACCGAGATACTACCATGTTTCCTGATATTCGCATTTCATATGTAAAATATTTCGTACAACTGTTTAGCACGACGTATTATCACTTATACATACACAGCATGCGGTGTTCACGCAAGATCGCTTTGTTATCATTTGCGCGGCTTGGCTCGGGCGAACGAATAACGACGCATAGTTGTCTCTCGTCGTGTTGTTCTAATACTTTTCGGAACGGTAAATGAAAATAAGACAATCATTTTCTATGAACAATCAGTTGTGAGTTCGCACAATCGATCAATTACTGTGATTAATGAGCTATTCGAGGCAGCGCAAACAATCGTTCCTTGAGACAAGTAACTGGCATAATTAATTTATTTGAGAGCATTTTAAAGTCGTAGACAACGGAAAATACGATTTGCTATTTCATCGAGATGTTCATGTGTAATTTTCCCGCGAATAAGTAAATATTGAATCTAAGCATCGCTAATGAAATAATTATCACGATATGAATAATTATATAATGATATGAATAATTATCATCAAAACTATATTAGTGCATTCGAAAGATATTACACTTGCGATATTGAAATTCGCGTTTAATACATTTTCGTACAATTTATTGCGTCTTATTTAGCAATTTCTATCATTCCGTGTAATTCCTATCGTTTCGCGCGTAAAATTGGCAGCTATCTTTGTTAATGGAATTTCACAGATGAACTTCGAGTGGAGCAGCGTCCCGACAAGCAGCATCGTTTAATTTCTAAATGCAGTTGTAACGAATCATTTTTCGATATTCGTCAATTGTATGTTAACATAAGTTTGATGCTCGTACGGAGACTAATACCGAAAGCGCGTATTTGCGAGATTTATTCGATCGAAATTTGTTATTCAAGTAGTTGCAGGCAATCTAACCGTTTTCGAAAATTGCAAATACAGCAAATCGTACTTCACTCGCACGCACGGTAGACTCTTTTGTATTATTCTTTCTGCTATAACATGATAAACTATTTAATTCCCTGATAATATAAAGTGTGCATTGCGTGCTATTAATGTCGTAATTAATGTACAGTGCAAAGTGCCGCGCGTTGTATTCTAATTGTATATTCTGATTTTACATATATAATTATACTAATATAATTGTGTTTTGCAGGTATTGTGTGTGTCAAATAAAAGGAGCAGCAATAGAAGAAGACTAGAGAAGTATTAAATGATGGCGGGACAACTATGAAGTGAGCACTTTATCATTTATTTGACATATTTATTGTTTGTGGAATTGTTTGCACGATATTGCGCTAAATTATTATTGTGTAATGCATATAACATTTTATTGTTAGCTTCGAATTTAAGAAATATTTAAAATATTTTATAAAGTATATACATTCATAGAAGGTTTAATATTGATGGAAATATACATGAAATATCCCAATATGTTTATGATTGAATAGTAATGAGAATTAAATTTTTATTTATAAAATTTTATAAAAATTAATATTTAGCAAACTTTCTTTTTCTCTAATATTTTTAGAATGAATCTCACTCTTAAAGATTGAAAATTGAGCTATTTTTTTCAAAATTGGCTCAATTTTCCCTCTTTAGAGTGAGATTCCACTCTAAAGAATTTAGAGAGTTTAAAAATCATGTTTATATTACAATTATTATATTGCACGAAACTTTAATGTAAGTATATTTGTATTTTACAGACCAGCATATATTACAACTCCGCTGCTTCTCATCATACTGGTTAGTCTTAAATTATTTTTCACCTTAATTATAACACCTACCTGTCCAATAGAGCCAGTTTTGTTCGAATTTGAGACCGTCATCACCCTCGAAAACTTTAAAAATCGACACTATGTAGCCGGTGGATGGAATAGGCGGTCTTCCACCGGGTGGTTCGAGCGGTGGTCTCGCGATGGTCGCTACCTCGTTGAACAGATCTAACGTGTGACTGGCAGCGTATCTGAGATCTCGAGGATCGAACTTACGTAGAGCCGCGCATTGCACTTCGTTGTAAAAATCTATGGGGTCTGTGCTCTGCTTGTTTATTAGATAATACGTGATGAACGGGAAATCCGCTGAAACACACAGAAATTCGGCTAAACGATCTTAAAAAGTATTTATCGTCGTTATCTCGCTGTCTTTAAGTGACGAATAATCTGATTTTACGTACTGTTTTTCTCCATGTTTGTAAGTAAAATACTTTGCGAGGCAGAGGGTGCTATCTCGGCGACTAGTTCCGCGGCGGTGTCGCGTTGTAGGACTAATGGACGAGACACTGGAGATTCCATTAGCGGGTCCAGAGGTTCCAGTGGCGTCATGAAATGCGCGAGAACACATTGCTTCGGGTCCTCAACCTCAAGAACCGACAGAGGACTCCCCGGTCTCTTCTTATCAGCGACAGGGGCATGCTTTGATGAACGATAAAAATTAAATTACAAAGAAAGTGGAGTAGAATTACGCGTAATTTATAATCTAAGTACTCTATTAATTTTATTTCTTTTTGTATTTGATTTATCGTAATCATTATTTGAAGTAAATTTATCGTAATTATTATTTGAGCAAATAAAAAAGCAAAAATAGTTTTTAGCAGAGATTTTTTATATAAATTTTGTCTCTTTTTACAAGTATTAAGATATAATTTTATATTACTGTTTTATTAAATAATAGCGCCTTTCAGAATTGTGACTTACTACGCTTTATTTTAGATATCTCTAGTCTCTTTCTCTAGTAGACACATTTTATTTATTTTTAGATGTTCGTACGGAAGGTCACAACTCGTAAGAGTCTAAGGCCAATAGCTTGACTATTCTAATTTCAGCAAATGCTATGCTTGTTCAGAATTGTTGATTACACGTTTATCAATTCTACTAAACATTTTTATAATATTTCGTTAATATTTTCCAATTGAGCAAGCAGCAATAAATTGTATTTTACTGTATATACATCAATTTTAAAATTTAAAAACCCCTTGAGAACAAAAATAATTGTTTTATTTCTTTGATTTATATAAATTGCTCTACAATTTCTTGTGATATTTAAAATTAATCTACTTTTAATGAAAATATTAAGTAACATTGCTTTACTATGATATTATTTTACAATAAATTATAACTCGAATATTACAATACTTCGACGTTTTAATTAACAAATTTGAAAATTTTACAAAATTCTTTTCGCTATGATATGCGAATTAAAATATCGCTTATTTGCTACACAGATTGTTATTTTTTAGTTGTTTGTAGAAAAAGAACGGAAACTTAAAGAAAAAATAAAGAATATATGTTTATTCTTCTACAATTAGTTATTACTAAAATTGCATTTCAAAATTAATATTATAAAATTTTAATAATTCAAAACATTGAAATTCATTTTTTAAGAATTAAACTTTGTTTTTAAATTTGTTGTTATTATTATAGCAAATAAGTGATATATATTCATGTCCCCTGGGAATATAAAGTGTGTCGCATGCGATTAATGTCGCGATTAACGGAAATGCTGTGCAAAGTGCAGCGTTATCATTGTATTCTTTTTATGTTTCCCTGCGTGATTATATGTACAATAATTAGTGTGTTTTGCATGTACAGGTATTGTATGTCAGAAAAGAGTAATAACGGGGAAATAAGAGAGGAGGAAGAGGCCAAGGAGGTATCAGACAACAGAGCAACCATGAGGTGAGCATTATTCATTTGATATATTTATTATTTGGAAAGGAAGAATAATGTTGCGCGTTTACTTTCCACTAATTTTGTAGTACACTAATTTTATAGTAATATTTTTCTTCTTAAAAAAACACATGTATAATTTTTTATTGACTTACTGGTACACCGGCTGGTAAAAAACGTTCGAGAGAAGCGAGAGGTATAATAAAGCAGTCACGGTCCAAAGTGGCCAAAGAGATTGGTTCGCCTCGTGGCGGGCTGTTTCCAGAAACCACGAGAGGTGTGTAGGTACCGGAAGTACGGTTTCCGCTAAAGGATACCTGTAAAACGATAACACAATTACAAAATTTCATTAAATTCATATATATATATATATAAATATAAAAATTATATTAGATAACGTCTATTATCGTCTGAATGTCATATTAGACAGAATTAGTTTCGCACATCAATTTATACATATTTAATATCTCATACTATAAAGTCCAGGATAGAACATAAGATTGATATGAACATTAGTAATGACATGAGTATACGAAACATTATTCGAAACATGTACGAAATAAAAACTCATTCTGATCATTTTATCGATCGTATAATCCTAATTCGATATCTCTACATTTTTAATTAAACGTATTAAAACATTTACGCTCTTTATTCAAAATTATTAATGTATTAATGAAGTATAATATAAAAATAATTATCAATATATTTACTTTTATCAAATATATCTAAAAATATTTACATTTAAAAATATTTTCATTTCTGCGATAGCAACATGATTTCATAAGATCGGTATGAATAGATTAACGATGTTACTATAAATTTTTCTAATGAAAGAAAAATTGTTTTTCCCTTTTATTACATATTTACAGATACAAAATGAATTCTACATTATTTTCTTTAACTATCTTTAGTTAAAAAATTTCACTACGCTTAAAAGAATCGATGTCGGCTTATGAGGTTGTAGATCATCTTCGCAGGATTAAAAATGAAAGCGCTGAGAGGTATCCCAGTGTGTGCAACATGTGCAGCAAATTTACGAGCATAGACATATCTCGCAAATACATTTATAGCAGTAATAGTAAAGATGTCAAGGTAATACGTGCCCAAATAAAATGAAAATAGGCCGTGGGTATAGGCAGAATGTCGCTGCGTTCGCACGTACACGCTCGAGTCCGACTCGACTTGTCTTTTACTACTTGCGTCAAAGCTCAGACTATCGTCGTAGTTTCGGCTCGGTTCGCCGTTTTTTTCCGCCGTTTCACGTAAAGTCTCGTAGATCTGACAACTTTATCGCTCACGTTCAAAGTTGGTGCAATGCGATTTACGTTGCATATCAATTTTGCAAGTGCACTCGACGTTAGCGATTGATCACATTGCTTCGTAATTTTTCATCCCGCGGTCGGCAAGCGTGAGACATCGTCTTTTATAAAGTAGGACTGAGTAGAATGCGCACCGAGAAGATACATTTTAGAAGAACAATGATTTATTTATTTCTTTTTATTTATCATAAAAAATAAAACAGTTTTTATCATAATATATATATTCTAATTAACTTTATTATTAAAATTATTCTTATCGTACACTATCATGTTTTCACTATAAATTATTACAAGAAGACCCTTCGTGTCTTCCTATGTACCGAGATGTGCATACTATGAATTTAATACATTGCAACAGTGCATGCATAGGAAATACATGTGTGCACATCGTTGATATTGTGCGAAATGTACACATGCGGCGAAAAACTTCCACGATCAATAACAATTTGCATGCTGTTTAGTGTATAAAAATAGTATGTCGCATAACGTTGTAGTATAACTATGGCATGACTTCTACTTGCATTGCGTTCGCACGCATGGTACGCACCGACATTTATATCTGACTTACATATAACTTTTTACTTTGATGATCAAATTAAAACAGTACAACTAAGGGTTTAATCATCTATAGTTACAAACAAGCGCGACTCATGCATTACATTCTATTGTGGCTACTGTATTAGCTTATCCCAAACAGCTGTTAAATTCCGAATGTCACACACATTGCGTACATATAATACATTAATTAAGGCACCGAATGGCGACTATTTCACAATAATGGTTCCATTGGGAAGTGTTTACTGTACTTTTTCAATCCTCAATATGCTAAAGGTGCATACAGCATAAACAAATAGCATATATAGATACATAATGCCAGATATAATCAGACTAATTTGCCAACGCGTCATTGAGTGTATTTGTGACACAAACTTTTTGTACTATTTTTTCCGGAGATAATGTATTTCTTAAAATGGATTTTTTTATAATATAAGAAAAAAATATTATATCTTGAAAAAGATACAAAAAAGATTATTAAGAAATTCCTAAAAACTGATACTACAAAATACTTCAATTCGTTAATTGTAAATTAAATTTACGCTATGACATTCTCAATGAAATTTTGTAATTTTCCTGATTAAACTTTACAATTTTATTATTAACTATAATTATATTCTCTATTTATTGAACATATCTATAATTTATAATTTATTTTGTTTTTGTGTGGAGAAAATTATTATTTGACATCTCTTTCAATTTTCATTTTCTCTCTGCGAATTTGCAATACACGAGATTACAATAAACTATTAAACAATAAATATTTGGTTGTTATATATATATATACATTAGTTTTAAGTAAATAGAAAACATAAAATTTTAATTAGCAAATCATGCTTGTTTTGTTTATATGCACCTTTAAAGTGCAAACTTTCTGCATTACATGTTGCAATACGTAATGTGCGTTGACGATGTTTTCTGCATTGGAATGCATTTGCTGCATTCACAAGTTCAATCAATACACAGAAAAAGTTTGCCAACATGCGTGTTTGGATATTTAATTACATTGCATTCAGTACACATGATGGTAAATGTCCACGCTGCACATCGTAAAGGTCATAGGTTATTGCACGACACTGCGGTCTTTGTCAGACCGTGAAAGCCGCAGCAATACTTCAATCGTGAATTTCCGCACTTATATCTCTCGCACTTTCAGCACGTTCTTTTCGATCACGCAAGAAGTTTGGCAGGAGATTTATGAAGAATTCTACATATTCCTGTCGTATTCTTCCAATATTTTTTATTGATGCATTTCTAAGCTTAATTGCGATAATTGTAGCGCTGGGATAAATGTGACAGACAGTGTAGCATTGCTTAATGTTACACTGAGAAAAAATTTATTAAATTTTTATGTATTTTTTTCAGTAGTACACATTTATTTACAGTAAATATTTACTCGAGAAAAAAATTATTGTTGTACCAAATTAATATATGTTTACATTTAATAAATATTTAGTTAATACTATTTAAACAAATATTTATTAAAATACATTTAATACATTTTTAAAAATTAATACTAATAATTTAACGAGTTTATTAAAATTATTGTTATTTTTCAATTTCATAATCAACTGAGAACACCGTTACGTAAAACATGAAACATTAGGTATTATGTACTTTCTGATCTCTATTATTAAAACTATTTAAAAATTTCATTTAATATTGCACTTAGGTATCATTTTATTTATGTTTAACATTCGATGAACAAGGATAAAATAATATACCCTGAATTCCTGATCGCACCTAGGTTTACGGACCAACCGGTGAGATTCACTACATCATAAAATACTTATGGCCCGAAAATGTCTCTTCTCATGTATATAATACAATGCACTGAACATTCACGAAAACATGGTGATGGAATGCGATACGGGCGGGTTTTGGATGGGCTGATAGTAAACAATAGATGTTAATTATCGAACATTTACGCTGTAAGGAATTTATGGCATGTTCTCGGATTTACCACGACTTGCAACAAGATAGCGACTTTGCGTGCCGTTTGCGTAAGTGCTACTTTATATCTTCCCTTCTATAAACGGTCTCCCATTTCCTCCGTAACTTTGCTTTATTGCAAAATTTTTCGCTATCCCGTGGCCTATCATGAAGAGAAATGGCGATATAATACTTGGTTCAATAACGATAATGGAAAGCGATTAGTCTGTCAAGAAGCTCTCTCCCCCGAGATTTATTATATTAATATCCGTTTAATTTCTTAGCTAATTATTTTATTCTTAGGAAGTAATGGAATATGACTAATTTTGTTTTATGATAGGAAACGTATATTTTAGCGTAGAATTAATTCAATTGTATTTATAATGAATCACAAAATTATTTACACGCACGCCTAATATAAAAAAATAATTATCTTCTATTTTTAAAATGATGTATAAATTACAAGGTAAAGTCGTTATTGAATAATCGTTATATGTTAGACGGTAAATTAGTCTGTTTCATTCTATATGTAATTTTAAAGTTCCTGGCGCTTATGTAGATGACAGTTTGCGGGTAACGAGATATATTGGAATAGCCGAGAGACAACCCGCCAACATTCTTGTTAAATAGAATAATTCTAACGTCGGAAAGAGCGAAATAGCGATTGTAGATTAATAATTCAATTTTGGTCGATTGTGTTGGAAATGACTATAATTAAGCCCAAATTAGGGTAACCACATGTTACAACAGTTTTCCGTGCGTGACTCACATTGCGAGATAAATACGCTTGATAGTTTATTAGCGTGCTATTTCACATCGTACGCCAGTATGAATTTATTGTTATTTAACAAGTTTTTCTCTAGATTAACAAATAGATAAATTGAAATACCTATTCCTCTGTTTTTTTATCTTTTTTGGAATATTTTTATTGCATTTGAAAGAAAATTTAGATGATTTTAAATTAAGAAATCTTAACTGTATTAGAAACGTTGTTAAACGTTAGACCAAAACCACACGACAGACAAATTGTCGGTCAACTATTGCGTGGTTTATGGAAAATATTTGGTATAATGCACGTAACAATATATATGGGTACGCAAAAAATGTACTAACTTTTAATAAATATTTGTTTAGTGCTAACTAAATATTTACCAAATATAAAGATATATTTATATTTAGTACAAGTACCATTAATTTAACTATCATTTTTTAAGTAAATATTTATTTACTATAAAGTAAATATTCAGTTAGTACTATTCAAATAAATATTTATTAAAATATATTAAATTTAGTACATTTTGTCTCCATGCGACATAATTTTATTATTTTTAATTGTTTTCTATAAACGACACAACAATCTTGTCTATCATCTACTCTTGTTCTTAGAAAAGATCCAAATTATTTTCTTGGCCTCTTGGAGTTTCTTATGGATTTTAAATGTACTCACCTGCCTAGACGCAGTCGGACTTGGTGGGTCGGAAGATTCTTTCTGTTGACCGATCTGATTTTGCTTTCTTCTGGCTTGATTGCCGATCTGACCGCCCTGTGTGGAATTGACAGACCCACCGCCACCCCATTTAATCACATGGGGGCCCGAATTACGACGTGGCGGCGGACCCAGTCGCTCGCCCGGTTCTTCAGGCGGTGAACCGAGTGCCCCACCTGCAGGCGGCGATAGGAATAAGTGAGTACGATAGCCATGTGCCTGGTGCTCGTGATCGCCCATTGACGGAAAGTTTCCGAATTCCCGGCTGCGTCGTACAGGTCCACGTACGCTACTGACCACTGACTGGCCGATACCACCGCGCGTAGCGCCAAAACGCGATCCTATCTGGCCGAATGAGGCCCCGCTGGTCCCGTAAGTAGTGGTGCTCAGGACAGGCCGAACTTCCCCAAGTCCTCCTCCACCTAGTCCGCCACCACCGAGTCCCTTCTCGCCGAAGTTCTTGCGGAACATAAGATTCATGACTGACTTCGGTACACGATCTCAGGTCGCTGTCGGCGTATTTCTCGTGGTGTGTATGTGTGTTATTTTTTCTCGGCTTTTTTTTTAACTTCTACTCGACCATTCGATACGCTCGGTCGATTCGACGAGTGCTCGAGAATACGCGTGGAAGAGAGGCAGTGGTGGTGGTGGCGGTGCGCGACAATCACAAGAGGATACGAGGGTGTTTTAGCGTTTTTTTTTAAATCCTTTCCTAAGTCTCGTTAAACGATTTCATATTAGACTTTGTGATTTCTCCGATAAGAGTTTTTTCTTTTTCTTTTCCTTTTTTTTTTTATACGATTTTGGACACACTGATTCGTTAACTCATGGCGAAATATACTACGAGTACAACAATCTTGACACGTTACAAACGCCAACTTGGGCATATGATGTCGCGCTCAAACACAGAAGAAACCGACGTGGTGCAACGTCGGACGACATTGGGATTGGGATTTAAACTGCTCGTGCGATGGCACTGACAGTGAACCCCGGCAGCGAATGGTCGGTGCACTTAACTTTTACCGACTTCCTGCTGCCGTGTAGTTCTAAAGCACTCACGTAGTTGATCTAGGTCGAACAAGAAGAATAGTAACGATCTTTTACCGCGCGATTTCGGTCGAACTTCTCGAAGGATAATCGACGCTTGACCCCAAAATACTGAGAATAAGTAAAATCTACGCATTACATGTATATACGTAAAAATTTCTTTAAATAAAAGCAAGTTTAAGTGTCAACATTTTAATAAGTACTTTTGTCAAATTGATAATAATATCAGCATTACTGTAAAAATAATATTATGCAGCAGATGCAATATTAAATTTTTATATTAAATATTTAATTGTGTAAAGATTAGCACGCGCAATTGTTACAGCCTGGCTTAAATTAATTTAAAAAATGGTATTATTAAATGGTTATTAATTTAAAAAATGTTTGAATCCAATGAAAGGAATTTCGTTATTATTAATTTTTAATTCGCCTCTAAAAAGAATAGTAGAAAAAAAGATTGAAAAAGGAAATTAACAGGAGAAAAATTAAAAATAAGATGTATTAAGAAAAACGATCAGAAAATAAAAAAAATAAGAAGGAAAATTATAAAAGATTGAAAAATTAAGATATGAAGCATTTATCTAGAAAAGGGAAGATGGAAATAAAACATTGAATAAAGAGAATTAAGGAAAGTTAAAATTGCTAAAGAAGTTTGAAAGAAATATCATAAAGATGTAAACGAATACAAGTTTGTACAAGGAAGTTTAATTAAAGAAAAAAAAATTAGAATTCACTATGTGTTATACGTACGTATCTAATTTAAAACCTGTATAAAACTTTTAGTTTAAAATTTGCATTTTGAAAATTACCTCCTCAGAGACTCACATATGTGAGTATAGGTTGTAGTCTTTCCGAGTCATTCCATGCCTGGAGTGCAGCCAAGGCTATCTTACATCCACTTTAGACGATCTTCGCGATAATTTGAATGATAATTCGCATTAAAGTTTAATACAGAATTCTCTTCATAATTTGATATAACATATGTTTTAATATACTTAAATGGTTATATAAGTATTTTTTAAATACGTGTTTCGTACATATATATTCTGATTTTATTTTTTTTTATTACAGTGAGTGCAAAAAGTACAGAGAAAATATTTTTTAAAAAAAACTTTATTTTTAAAGAGTCATCGAATTGATGTCGATTCGATGTTTAATTAACGATCATTTCTTGTTATTGGATAATTAACAATTCATAAAGAATAAAATATACTGTATGTTTCTTAAAATTATATACATACCAAAACAATGTGTATTAATTATACAAAATATATCATCTGAAAAATAAACGAAAATAAAAAATTGTATTGTTTGAATGCTCAAAAAGTATTCGTACAGCCGAGAAATTTCTAGCTTCTAAAATCAGAAATACATGCGAAGATCGTTTGTTTATGTTAGAACAGAATGTATTCATTGTATAAAATTGCTAATTAATGTTTATTTTCTACAAATAAGACTTTTTTTTATAACAAATTCCTTTGTACGAATACTTTTTGCTCTCACTGTATGTGTTCGAAAATATATGACAAATATAAAATTTTGTTACAAATTAGAGAAAGTCTAAAGTTGATTTAAAAGAATTTTTTAATAATTAATTGAGGAGTTTAATACATATAATATAACTGATATTGAATAAATAAATATGGAATTCGTCAAAACTGAATGAACGCGAACATCGCGAATCATTTAATGTGTCACGTCAATTTTTTCACTTTTCGAATAAATTTTACTGTGGCGCGCGAGCGAAACATTACGAAAATCGGAAAACTGAACGATTTAAAGCGTAAAACTTTTGATTATCTGAAAACACCGTCGCAATTCGTCTTTTAATTTGGAACAGTACTTTATTCTGCTCTATGCAAATATCTTATGCAACTAGTCTTGATGAAATCAAGAAGTTGATTGGTTAAATCCGGGATCATCGAAGAAGATAACGATAATTTTGTTGCACAAGATAATCACTCACACATAAATTCTTCTAGTTCGATACATTCTAAATAATGACATAATGAAGTTCGTATTATCAGTTTTTTACGGTTATTATATCCATTAATTTAGTATTTTTAATATTTAACAATATTAAATATCCATTTAGTATTTTTAATGTTAAATAATATTAAATATATTTTTTGCTTTTATTAAAAATAATTCACGCTATTTAATATTTCACTGTTTATACATTAAAATTTTCGGTTTAAAGTTGTTAAATATGTTTAACGATGTTTTCACTTTTTCAAAAAGTTAAATTTATAAAAATGAAAAATTTCAATTAACCGCAAAGTAGTAACGCACAACGTCGGATTAAAAGTGGCACGGGTAATGCGCGCGTCAACTAACGTTTGCCTCTTCGTGGGAGAACTGTCTCGTCGTAGAAACGACACAAGCTTTAATAGCGAGTCTCTCGATTGATTTAAAGTAGACTGCTTTGTCACGGTAGCAACACAGATATATGCAAGGTAAAATGCGTGAAAACAAGAGATTACTTTCGATTCAGCTCAATATTTTACTTGATAATGACAAAGGTAAAAGAATGCAATTCCTATTGACTCTTATTTCTTGAATATTTTTAGATTATATTGGCTGCACTGCCAAGAAGATTTTCTGTAATCTTCTGATGAATAAAATCTCATATCTTAAAATACTGCTATTCTCAAATTGATATTAATAATGCATCAACAATGCTTTAATTTCCACCGTATAATTTTCAAATATATAATATTATTATATTTCTATGAAAAAATAATTTTCTGAAGAATTTTGCTGGAATGTTATTTTTACAGTACTTAAATTTTAAAAACATTTTTCAAATATGCAAAAAATATTTACTAAAACATTTGATTCGATAGTTAAAGTTTGCAGCGTATGTTTTTCGAATGACTTTCCAATGATATACACGTGCCTTAAGATCGATTTTAGTATTCCAGTATTCTAGGATCAGTTCCTCGATATTACTGGGAAATGAGATTAAGTTTTTTCTGCTTAAACTTTTTCTTTAGAAAAGTACGTAATCGCGTACCTAATCGCTATGTATGACAATTAGTTAACGAGGTAAACGTCTTATAATTTCATTTGATCTATAGTTAGGAAGAGGTACGTGACCGTGAGTTTATATTAGTTATTGAACTCAAAGCAAGACTGTCGTTTCTACTTCTTATATAAAATGTTGCAATAAAAGTGACGTATACGTCTTAAAAAATGTTAGAATATCTAAATAGGAAAGGTTTTCTAATAAATTTCGCTGCAGCATCTCATTTTTATATCAATTTAATTGTAATATAATATGTTCAAACATTTCGAAATTGAAAATTAGAAATATATAAAATAAAAATGATGAAAATTTGAAGTTATTGACATATTATAATTTAATACATTCTAACCATGTATGAATTGTGCGTACGATTTATTGATTTTTAATCTAAAATTAAATGTATGAGTTGTAAAAAATTGTGAGAGTAGGGAGTATCTACTTCGTTTGAAGCAAATAAGCGAGTGATTCAATTGGCTAAACGTTTTAGTTACTAATTACGTACGAGAAAAACAAATTGCGCGAACGCTGCAATGCTGTAGCAACGAACTACTGAAATTTATCTCTCGCTTCTACAAAATCCTCTGATCTTGTTCTACTATCGAGTCACGTACCGTGGAGAAAATTCAACTTTTCTTGGTAGTAAAACAAGTGCCGAGATCAAGATTTATCCCTGGATTTACACTAAAGCGCTGTATCATTACTGTCATAAAGTGTGGCTGTAAACATATATATATAATTATCACATAAATATTAAGAATTATTCTAATCATTATTTATTATTATAATCTAATTTGTCATTATAATAACTAATTAAAATTTTAATTGTTAGACACGAAATGTTAATCATGTTTTAACTACAATTATTCTACTTATCAAATATTTCAAAATTCAACACCAAGTTGACTTAAATTAATCCAAGATTGTATCACTCTTTAATTTTTTTTAAAAATCACTTTAGTGTTAAATTATAAATTATAAATTGAATACTTTCTTTTTATTTTTATTATTTTAGTTAACATACTCGTACATCATAGTTTTACAATAAGCCATTTTAACAACTGAATTTCAAACGAATCTTTTTAAAAATTAAAAAGACAAGATAAAGGACTATGAGCCGAGCAAGAAAATTTTTCGAATTTTTTAAATTCCAATCGATTATTCTAATTTCATCATGATTTTTATTTTTTTCTCTACAACAGTACAACACGCTTAGTACGATATTAATTTTTTTACTTCGAAGAAGAGAACTTTATACTCGAAAGTTATAAATATTTTCTTACAAAATTTCGATAGTCACACTATCTTGACCAATCATTAACGGCTGCGACTACTGAAGGAAGCAGTCGGTCAAACCCCATGCAAATTTCCAAGTTTTACACGAAGGAAGCAAGCGAGCAGCTGTCTTCGCGATAATATGTACAAGGGCGAGATGGTCGTCTATCATCGCTGTCGGAATGCCATTACGAGCGAGACAACATCGACATAAAACTCACAGTTGATTAAAAGCTGTAATTATACATAGGGAACGATCTAAAGATCCATGAATAATTTTTACAACATAATGAGAGCACAATGAATGACAAATGAATGCACTATTATACGACGAGAACGAAAGCAGGAAAATGAGTAAAAATATATAATCGATGGATAATACCCATAGTCGAACCGTATTAAATATTCATATAAAGAACGTTCAAGCATCAAATCCGCGATAAAATGAAAAATGTTGGTTTGTCGTGCGTAAACTAATAAAATTATAATATAGGAAATATACTTTCATATATGAATATAATAATTTAATAAATTATAAATATGTGAGAAATAATGAGTCGTGATGAAAAAAAAAGCGAACGTATTGCTGCAATTTATTAAATGTTTAATCTTCCGCGATGAAAGGGTGACAGAAAGTTATCTTACGTATAAACTGCATGAAATTATATCGCGATTATGCAACGTACCGGGAACAACGGCGTTATCGCTAAAAAAGCGAATACTCGGAATATCTACTTAGCTTTTGTAGATCGATGTTATATTGAAATATTTACAAGAAACTTGATTGGCGTGAGTGCACAGGCGCGCGTTGCAAGGATAAAGCATGGAATAATAGAAAATGACGGTTGTTAAGAACTTTTTTTCTATTTATATTTTCAACATTAGTGACTGCAGCGTTCACCCGGAAAGTTTAAACTTTGTTTCGCACAATTTCAATACGTAATTTCTGTCGTTAAGCACTTAAAAGGAAATTATCATTTATATCGGATATACTCGAATTAGCATTGACGCGTTTACTTGATTTAGTAGACAGGCGAAGAAAAATAAAGTTACGACAGGTTGTACAGAGGCATTTATGAAACATGTGTTGCAATCGATCGTATTGTAATATTCACCCTACACGCGATTAGACGGAAAAGTTCGGATTCCGGCGTCTCTGCGGTAACGCAAACAAACGGCGTGACGGTCATGCCGTGACATTTGGATCAGTTGCGTACTTAAACATACCGCGACTAAAATTGCGACTTTATTTGTGCTTTTATGCGAAAATTAGCTTGAAACTTCTTAACTTTGAAATAAAAATGTAATTTGATCTTGCGATTCGATAAAGATAGTGCCGTGTGTAAACCGCGATCTTACTACTTCAGGTAGTCTGTTGACATTCGGGTAGATTAGTACCGCGTGAAAAATTCAAGGTAACATTGATCACAGGACTATCGAGATGATAAGGATGATCGGTATCACGCTGGTACTCACGGAACACGTGTTCCGCGTAGATCGATAATACGTTGGAATATTCACACGCGTGACACGGACGCACGCACTCTATCGTGACAGGCGGATTCACAGGGTGACAGGATGACAGCGCGTATAATGGTATACCAATATACATAGCGCGAGATGAAAGGAAGGCTTTTTCTACAGAGAAAACACGACGACAACACGGGATTTGAGAGCAGAGCACAGACACTCACGACACACACGTATTTTACACGCGGTAGATCGATACTGTATTGAAATATTCACTGTGTAACGCGATGTGTGTCGTGACGGTGATACGTCAAGGTCCCTCCACGAAGGTTATTATCTCTGCTTGTCCGGGCTTGCGCTTGATCTAGACATGCGGTGCCAGCTCGATAGCGCGATTGCCTTTGCGATGCTAGTTGGAGTCGAGGGTGGGTACAGTTCTGAAAACGCACTCGCGGTGTTGAAAGCGCGTGCTATCGCGTTTCTCTCTTTGAAGAGCGCGGAGAAGAGATAGGGTGTAAGGAACGGGGCAGAACGAGTGGAGACTCCGAAGGCGCACTCCTGGTGAACGGCACTCTTGCACTGAGACGTGCACGAGGCGTCGCGACGCTCCTCAGGGTCGAGGAAACCGTGGCCCCCCGCGACGCGCCGCAACTAGAGACACGAGACACGTGGGAGTCGCTACGCGGTGCCTGCCTAATTCACAATTCGCGAAGTAATTGCTCTCGTGTGCAGTTCCGATAGTATCTTATTGTTGTCGGATGAGCGACTAAGTTATTGCGCGTCGTCGCATTTGGCGAGTGTTATTAGCGATGATAATATCTATTTTAGAAGCACTCTGGCGCAGACAGGAACTTTGAGACGCTCGCGATCAAATTAGAAATTTTGGTTTTAATGAATCGTATAATATGAAGCGATGCTATCGTATCCGTTTCTGAAGGAAATATTATTTTACCAGCGTGAATGAGGATATTTATTTCTGGCAGCATTTTTAGCAGATTTAAAATTAGAGCTCTTGTGACGTTGAAAGAATTTTCAAAAGGAACATTGTATTTAATGACATTTTAATATAATTAATTTATACACTGAAAAAAAAATATAGTTAATTTTAATAAATATTTAGTTCAATATTGGCAACTAAACATTTACTTACAGTAAATAAATATTTGTTCAGTAAAAAATGATTGTTAAATCAAATTAACATTTCTTGTATCAGATAAATATATCTTTATATTTAATAAATATTTAGTTGGCAATATTTAACTAAATATTTATTAAAATTGACTATATTTTTTTTCAGTGTATATAATATAATATTTCTATCAAAATCAATTTGTTGCTTCTATACTTTTTATAATGAACAAACTACATAGAAAATAAAAGAAATACTTATAATGCGATTGTAAGGGAGGGTGATTATGTGGAGAACAGAATAAAGACGTCATGAATCTTCACTAAATTAGACTCCGAAAGCCGAAAACGCGATTTTGGATTCTCTAACGTGCAAATGCTTCTTATCACGCTCGTAAAATCACTGACCAGTAGATAAAGTCAAGCTCTTAATGTATATTCGAATTATCTATTATAGATATCTCGCATTTTCTTCTGATCAACTTAAAAACTCTCGACAAAGTTCTGCATTCTTTATTCGAATAATTTTGAATATAAACAGTATATAAAGCTGTTTATTATGTTTAATTCATTTTCAATGTGTAGGAATTTTTAGAATAAAATAAGAATTGTTAAGATTCAATCCGTTAAAAAAAAAGATTAATTAAAATGCGAAGATCTTTACTTAAATGTCAATTAATTTACAATGTTTTACATTTTACGTGAGTAATGGCGGATTAAACGTACGATCAAGTGTTTATTTGTCGACTAGATTTTCGTGTATGTACAAACATTGTCCTAAATATCCATATAATTAATTACAGCGCTAATTACAGAAATGTGACATTTTGGTATAATGAATATCTGCGAAGCAACGTTTATTATACCAATAAAAGAAGTTTCAAAAGAACCGCTTATCACAAACAGAAATAGCGCATTCTTCCGCGTATCATAGAACTCTATCTATCAGCGTCACGGTTTCAATTCTAATCTGTGAGTTAAATTGAAAAAAAGTATTCGCAGTAGTGCTTGTAGAATACAAAATAGTTTGATATGTATCTTCACGAAAGTTAATTTATAAGACGAATGAAAGAGTCAAGTAAATGCAGTGTATTCTTTTTTATTAAATATGTAAAGTAAAAGTAATCATATTATTTGAAAAAAAAAGTGACATAATAAATAATTAGGTAATTAGATTGATAATTAAAATGTAACGATTTTATTATTATTATCCAAATATTAAATTAAAATTCCGTAATTAAAGTGATATAATTATTATTTAATTATTTAGACGACTGCACAAATATCTTGCATTAAAAACGTATTAAATTCGACAATAATGATTCTTTTTGCATTATATCGGCAAACGTAACATTTTTGCAAATGATAAATTCTGGTCACGAATTTAACGGTGAACTTTTATTTTTCACTACGGAATTGGTAGTTTTCTGACGTCGTCCGTCGTTCTTTGCCTGCCAAGAATCACACAGTTCGTGACTGACAGACAAGGTAACTTTTTTCCCTGAGAGTTTTCGCGGGTCAATAGTTACAACGTCACAACATGCATGTTGAAACAAAGAATCGAAAGCGGAAACCGCCTACCGCATTCAACTGTCACGATTGTTGCATTTCGTCGTCTTTTATACTTCGAGTCACCGACTTGGCACGTATGTCGTTCCAATAAGACAATTCTGGAATGTGTGTCACTAGAAGTACTTCAATTTATCTCTTTCACATTAAAGACCTTATTATATCGTTATTTCATTCTATTTCTTATTATATTATCTCATCTACTTGGCCTTCTCCATTCATGCGGTCTGGCACGAGATTACAGAGAGAATAGTAAAATATTTCTGTGGAAACTTTAAATTGACAGACATAAATGGTCTCGAATGTAAGTGATTTGACGATGTGTGCTTTGCTTGATTTTTTGACTTCGCGATTGCCTCTCACGATCAAACTTCTTCAGAGAGATAAAATTTACCGTTATATTTACATTTAAGCGTCGCGACACAACTGTATATTTATTCTTGGCATACGTTTGAAAACTAAAATTGCCTCAAGGTATTAATAGCGAGACGGTGATACGGTAGGACTATGAATATCTCAAGGTGTTCAACGTGACAGACGGCTCGTGTTGGCGCAAATCGCTTGAACGACGCTTGGAAACCGATTTGGAAGTGTCATAACGAAAGATCGATCGACTTCGATCAGGGAATTTGCTGGAGTTGCGCCATTATATTGTGACACTTCGATAGTTCGCGAGGCATTTCGATCACTTTGTCCGTGTACTTTATTCAAATTTCTGTGAGACATTACTTCTGAAAGCATGAGAATCTTCTATCTTCGCATAGCTTAAAATCTCCTTTTGTTAATACATATTGTGTGATTTTGAAGTAAAGCTTAAAGACATATTTTTTAAATATTTTCTTTATATATATAGTTTTTAAAAAATATTTTCTTTAATACTTTCTTTTTTTGGATAATTTTTAATTAAAAAAATATTTGACGTGAGAATATATATAATAGAAAAGATCTGCATGTGTAAAGTAAAGAATGTTATATGAATATAAGCATTGTATGACATATAAACGCTTGTAGGATCGCTGAAAAACGAGAAAGTAAATTCAAAAGACTTGCATGCTCGCTTTCCGGATTACGATATATTCAGAATTACGAGTACAACATCGATTAGATTGCAGCTTGCGTGTGTAACCTTGCATGAAAACCTGGCATCATCCTGTGACTTACTGTATCTGATGGAATGGCTAACATTTTTAGGCAATGCAATAGATATACTACTTTGAGTAAAAGCTGTCTTGTATCGTAATTTTGAAATACTGAAAAGCTGCTTTAATTAATTACTTCGTGAAAAAGCAATAATGGATCGAATCCATTACTTGATTGCGTTTTTTAGACGAATTTAACAATCACCATTTGTATGCGAAATAGAGTTGGGTTATTAAGTTTCGATAGCTAATGCCTTTTTAATTTTGAAATTAAAAAGAAATAGAAGAGACTCTTACATACTTAATTTCCGCTTATTACGCTTTAGAAATCATTTTGGCACCGACAACGAAATTCAAGCATTATATTTCCTAATTAACTTATTCTGAGTATTTTTATCGTTGCAATGCTTTATAATAATTCATGTTTACATTAGTTAATTATAAAACCACCTGTGACATATTTGGCACTCTGTCCAATCCGTTTTTATGTATATTCATTGGAAAGATATATAGATCTATAAATAACTTCTAAATGAATCCGTTTTTTAGGAAATTTAATTTTATCAAATCTTTTAGTCTCACGGAAGGATGTACCATTTTTCATGTATACATGAATGTTATCGGTTTGTTGAATCGATGTCGAGAGAGATCATTGCTCCAAATAACAACAAAAAAGCGATGGTTCTTTATCAAATATACATTTACTTTCCGTAAATGTAAATCAAAAACATATGTAAAAAATGTACAGAACATATAGAATTAATTTTTATTTAAATAACGGAAATTTTATTACTCATTAAAATAAAAATTACATTTGTCATATTTTAGCGAAATAAATTTTTTTATCATCTGTTTTTATCTCTCTCTTTTTATTAAATTATTTTATAATAGAAAGAATTAATACATACATAAATCAGTTAAAACAAATAATAACATAACTATTACAGATAGTAAATGATACGAAGAAATAGTGCTTAGAAGTTATAGAATGGAAATTCTATAGTACCATCAGTCTGTTAAATCCAACGGTTATATATATAAAATAGCCTATCATATTTCATATCACCTCGCACGATCTGATTTGTGATCGATTACAAATATATCATTTCATTTTTATCTATGTGAGAGCATTAGATTAAAAAAACATTGGCGCGTTTTTTAGCCTAATGCAGATTTTAATTTAATTTCTCTGTTGCGACCTTCAGACAAATTTGTCACGGTTAATACGCAATATCGCGCCTTCCATTATATTCTATTTTCGTGTCAAGCCTAAAGCCACTAATTTATTGGCTCTTGTATAAGACAAGTCGGATAAATTCCTTTGTTCACTATAAATTTAACTGTCAAATTATTTTCTGATCTATAAAAGTTAAGTTTAAAATTTTTTCGTAGCTAGTTAAATAATAATATTAATTTTACTTCTTTTTGATTTGCTAAAAAATATAATTTTGAGAAATTGTTTAAATATTTTGATAATACCTTATACAATATGTTAAATCGACTAAATGTAACATCTTGACATATACTGCAGTATTGCGAAGCGTTATTTCGAATGCGACTTTACTGCAGCGATAATGTTGCATAAATACATAAACATCATTCTCCAGGTCTTGGGGAATATATAGAAAATTTATGCGTATAGGAGAGTATCTTAGTGTACCTTGCGAATCTCGCTGGTTTTTACTATAGATCTTGATCTTAAATGCATGCACCTCAAATTTGGTTAATGGATATATAAAATGTAAGTTGAAGCGGGAAATACTGTTAACTACTTTATGATTACAGTGCATTATTTAGGAAAGAATGGTTATTATATTGCGCATTTTAAATGTTTAATTTACAAGTAATTTAAATGATTGATTGTATATATTGTTCATATATGAATTGTTGTTATATGAAAGTTCTCATTGTT